TTTGAAAAGACATGAGAAAAGAAGACTTAAACCCCTGGGCCTGTGTGCGCCCCCCTCCCCTCAAACACACACAGAGAGTATGAGATTGTTGAATATATGTATAGAGTATGTTTGGAAAGGAGTTTCAACTTGGCATGCGTTAGACAGAGACACAGACTGATTTTGTGACTGTAATCAAAATCATTCCTGGTGCTCTGATTCCAGTGAAATGCCTACCGTATTTTTCGGAGTATAAGACGCACCAAGGTTTTCAAGAGGCAAATTAAAAAAAAAAGTAGGTAGGTAGATAGAGGGAGAGAAAGAGAGAGAAATACAGTAGGTAGGTAGGGAGAGAAAGAGAGAAAGTAGATAAAGGGGGAGAGAGAGAGAGAGAGAGAGAGAGAAATACATTAGGTAGGTAGATAGAGGGAGAGAAAGAGAGAGAAATACAGTAGGTAGGTAGGGAGAGAAAGAGAGAAAGTAGATAAAGGGGGAGAGAGAGAGAGAGAGAGAGAGAGAAATACATTAGGTAGGTAGATAGGGAGAGAGAGTGTGTGTAGGTAGGGAGGTAGAGGGATAGAGAGAGAGAAATAGAAAGAGAGAGAAATACAGTAGATAGGTAGGGAGAGAGAGACAAAGAATAGGTAGGTTGGTAGGTAGATAGAGGGGAGGAGAGAGAAGGACAGGAGAAAGGTAGGGAGAGAGAGAGAGAGAGAGAGTAGGTAGGTAGGTAGAAAGAGGGGGGGGGGAGGAAGGTTCTTCTGAAAGTGCCACCGTTATTTGGAGAGGAGAGCGCAGAGCAAATAGTAAGTCTGCAGCCAAGACCAGACTCTCCTTTCCTCGGGATTACCGCCGGCTGGAAACGAGGATTTGGAGAGGGCTTTTCTCTCGAGCAACAGCCTTGTCCCGTTTCAAGGCCAGGAATTCCGGAATCTCTTTAGCCCCCGAATAGTGCCATTTTGGAGCACGAGGAATAAGGAGGCGCGCGTTCAACAAAAAAGCAGCAGCTGTGCCTATTTCGCCTCTTCCTCACCTTCAATTGCTCGTTCATGCTTCATTAAACAAGTTGGATTGCACACAGAAGATGAGGAGCAGCCTCTGCACTGATGCTGGCCCTTTCCTCGTTTAATCTTTTCCTTCTGGAATCCTCTGCAACCCCTCCCTGAATGATGGTTTATCTTGTTCCCCACCCCCCAAATGTATGCCTTGTGACAAACCATAGCAACAAGATATATTTGGAAAGCCTGGCACTGGTGAAGTGGTCTAAAAACATTAGCATCCCTTTCATAAAGGCCTTTGCTTCACAGGACAGATGTACAGAAGATAATAGCACAATTTATGGTAGCTCTTCCCTTTTATTAATACGGGGAGGGCTAGGTGGTACATTAACTGCTCACAATAAAACACCCATCAACTTACTTTTTCTGGCACCAACAATCTTCTAATCCAGCAGTCATTTGTGAAACTCTTAAATCAGGAGGGTTATATCCAGGTACCCAAATTTTGCATCATTCAACTCAGATTTGCCAGCAAAAACTGCTGCTGTGTGAGAGATGCCTCCCTAACACTCTATTTGGGCAATAGACCTTTATTTGAATTTATTAGCTGCCCATCTTCAATAAACTGCAATGGAAACCTATTGGTTTAGATATCTAAATCTATTCTCTGGTCTCCTCTTTGTGGCCATTTTCTCACCAGTGCTTTGTAGTGTGTACTAGTGTGATTCAGCCTTTATTGTGGCAAACAATTGAAAGACTGTTATACATTTATCAGAACAGGATAAGTTGGCTAACACAAGAAGATGCTAGAAATTGGTGGGGAGGGAAAAGCCTCTACAATAGGGGTGTCCAACCTTGGCAAGTTTTATGCTTGTGGACTTCAATTCACAGAATTTCCTGTGCTGACTAGAGAATTCTGGGAATAGAAGTCCACAAGTCTGAAAGATTGCTAAGATTGGTTCTACAATGTTACAAAGGACTAGAGGTTTATGCCTATCCCAAATCCCCAAGCAACTTGTGGGATAGCACAGATAACCATACACAACATGCCTGTTCCCCTGCAGAGAAGTGAAAACTCCAACTGTCTCTGAAGGGCATAGTAAGACAATCTTCTATTCTAGCTGCCCAAAAAATGGGTGAGTAAACCCAGAGATGCAGCATTTGCTCATTTTTGATGTGCCCCAGAAATGGAAGCATTCAGAGGAAATTATCCAGATATGCAAAGGCTTGGACTTTACTGGCTGGTGGTTCCTTCTCGCCTTGCCTTGATAAATCTCCCTTGCAGGAGCAAAGAAGAGAGAGGAAATTGTGACCTTGTAGAATTCTACAACTCCACCTCAGCACCAATATTTCTCAACTTCGAGGACTTCAATTCCCAGCATCCCCCAGTCATCATTGCTGGGAGTTGAAGTCCCCACATTTTAAAATTGTCAAGGTTGAGAAACACTATTCTACAGATATATTATTCTCACACACGTATCAAGAAATGCCATCAGTTTCAGGTACATATCCCAAAGATGCTTTTTTCAAGAGGCAACTGGACTTTCTGGTTTTTCTTTGACGCTTCTAGTCCAAGATTACTGAAGAAGCTTCTTGGATGAGAAACGAAAGGTCGAAAAACCACAACGTTCAGTTGGCCCTTGGAAAAAAAGCACCTTTGGGACAACCGTGAACTGGATGACTGAGAATCTCCCTAGACTTTCAGGTACATATTTCCTTGACTGCTGAAGCTGGGTGCGGTGGGAAAGGGATGCAGTTAGTTTCCGGAGAGCAAAAAGCGGGGAAAGTTTCTACAGCTTGATTCGCAGATTAAAATTGTAAACCACCCAATTCCGGTTTCGGCATTAGCGGAAATTATCTCTTTCATTTCCTTCATTACGGGGGGGGGGGGAGCGATTGTCTCGATCATCCCTGCCATCATTAGCGGGCGTGTTTCGCTGTAATCCCCTCTGCCCCCTTCTTTAACTCCTGCTTCTCCTAGTTCTGAAAAGTCCGAATAGTTCGAAACTATGGACGCGGTGGGGAGAGGAAGAAGGACATACCGCCTAACTAACGCTTTAGATAAAGTGAATGTCTATGTGCAGGGTGCGAGCGCAAATAGCACCAGCAACAGGAGCTTCCTTCGGTGGGGAGGGGGAGCAGGAAATGGGACGAGAGGGGTCACTGACGTATGTGAGAGTTGCCGGCTTCTCGAAGCTGCAATGGCATTGACAAAGCCGGGATCGTCTTGACCCTTGGTGCCGTTTTTATCACGCCCCATTCCCTTGCTCCATATTGCTGGAAGAGCACCAAACCTGCGCTCGCAACTGTCCTTGGAAAAGGAAAATTGGAGGAGCAGCAGCAACAGAGCTTGGTTCCAACAACAACACCGAAATCCGTCTCGTATCCTTTTTGAACTGTCTTAGGCTTGCAAAAGCAATGCTTGTAGGGATGGGATGAGAGTGTCTTGCATTCACTTCGCTTTAATTAGCTAGAGAGGAAGAATCAAAAATGCCCCGGCGGGACTCCTAATAAGAGTTTGTCTAGAAGAGACGGAAAAACAAGAGGAGGCTTCACCCGTAATTCTTCGGGTTTTTTAAAAATTCCTTTTCAGTACGTGTTCTCCTTTCTCGCCTGGTTTTCGCTTCCAATTCTGAGCTCGCAGCGCCTCCACTTGCTTGATGTAAAATATAGCTCAATGCTGCTGCTGCTGCTGTATTTAATATATAGCTTGTTTTTGGACAGGATTTCCAAAAGGTAACAGGGGGACAATATTTCCGTAAGTAACAAGGGGGAAAGTATAAAATTATATGAACTTATAGCTTGTGAAAGCTGCACAAGTGAGTGGGGGTAAACCAGGGGTGAAATCCAGCAGGTTCTGACAAGTTATGGAGAACCGGCAGTGGAAATTTTGAGGAGTTTGGAGAACTGGCAAATGCCACCTTTGGCTGGCCCCAGAGTGGGGTGGGAATGGAGATTTTGCAGTATCTTGCCATGCCCACCAAGACACACCACATCCACCAAGCCATGCCCACAGAACCAGTAGTAATTTTTTTTGAATTTCACCACTTTGCTTGATGCTGCATGAAGCAAATTATAAGAATGGCATCAAGGCTATCTAGCAGCCTAAGAGAGTGGAAGCTTCTTCCAGTAGGCCTTGTGTCATGAAGAATGGATATACTTAGACTGGTTTTTTATTTCATTTTTAACTACCTGTCTTTTTATATCTGTTTCAATGAATGAATGTGCTTTTAAATGGCATGAAGGTACTTTTACTGAAAGCAAATGAAAATCTGACATCCAAATCAGCTCAAGGGAAAAAAGGGTCTTTGACATACCAGAGCCCTTGTGTATAAAAAATTGATTTTCAGAGTGCTTCCCTGTAAACTTTAAAAAAAACTAATCTAGAGTAGCACTCTTTAGTACAATTTTGAAAAAGTTTGAATAGAGATATGTAAGATGGAATTGCTTTTCAAACTCATTTGCATTGTCCTGTTCTATTTGTTGTCAATATCAGATAATACATCCC